ATGCTATGACACTTGAAGTCAAATACAAGAAAATATTTGGGAGGACCACAAATACATGGAGGGTAAATGACATTCTACTAAAGAATGAATGGGTCAATCAGCAAGTTGAAGAATTTAAAAAATACATGGAAACAAATGAAAATGAAAACACGATGGTTCTGAACCTTTGGGATGCAACAAAGGCAGTCCTAAGAGGGAAGTATATTGTAGTACAGGCTTACCTCAAGAAGCAAAAAAAAATCTCAAATACACAACCTAACCTTAAACCTAAAGGAGCTGGAAAAAGAACAACTAATAAAGCCTAAACCCAGCAGGAGAAGAGAAATAATAAAGAGCAGAGCAGAAATCAATGATATCGAAGTCAAAAAACCAGTAGAACTGATCAACGAAACTAGGAGCTGGTTCTTTGAAAGAATTAATAAGATTGATAACCCCCTAGCCAGACTTATCAAAAAGACAAAGGACCCAAATAAAATAATGAATGAAAGAGGAACGATCACAACCAACACCAAAGAAATTCAAACAATTATAAGAGAATATTATGAGCAATCATATGCCAACAACTAGGCAATCTGGAAGAAATGGATGCATTTCCAAAAACCTGAACAGACCCATAACCAGCAAAGAAATTGAATCACTAATCCAAGATCCCCCACAAAGCAGAGTCCAGGACCAGATGGCCTGCCAGGGGAATTCTACCAAATATTTAAAGGAGAATTAATACCTTTTCTTCTGAAACTGTTTCAAAAAATAGAAATGGAAAGAAGACTTCCAAACTCCTTCTATGAGGCCAACATTACCTTGATCCCAAAACTAGACAAAGACCACCATCAAAATGGAGAATTACAGACCAAGATTAGTTAGTTAGATAGTTAATAGGATCCACCAGTACATTAAAAGTTTTATTAGCCACAACCAAGTGGGATTTATTCCTGGGCTGCAAGGATGGTTCAACATCTGCAAATCAATCAATGTGATACACTACATTAATAAAAGAAAGGACAAGAAACATAGGATCCTCTCAATAGATGCAGAAAAAGCATTTGACAAAATATAGCATCCTTTCTTGATAAAAACTCTCTGCTGTGTGGGGATAGAGAGAACATACCTCAATATCATAAAAGCCATATACAAACAACCCACAGCAAATATCACCCTCAGTGGAGAAAAACTGAGAGCTTTTCCCCTAAGGTCAGGAACATGGCAGGCATGTCCACTTCTACTACTGTTATTCAACATAGTACTGGAAGTCCTAGCCCCAGCAATCAGACAACAAAAAAAAAAATAAAAGGCATCCAAACTGGCAAAGAAGAAATCAAACTCTCATTCTTCGCAGACAACATAATACTCTATATAGAAAACCCAAAAGACTCCAGCAGAAAATTGCTAAAACTGATACAGCAATTCAGCAAAGTCACAGGATATAAAATCAATGCACAGAAGCCAGTTGCATTTCTATACACTAACAGTGAGGAGGAAGAAAGAGAAATCAAGGAATCGATCCCACTTACAATAGCACCAAAAACCATAAGATACCTAGGAATAAACCTAACTAAAGAGGTAAAGGATCTGTACTTTAGAAACTACAGAATGCTTAAGAAAGAAATGGAGGAAGACACAAAGAGATGGAAAAACATTCCATGCTCATGGATTGGAAGAACAAATATTGTTAAAATGTCTATGCTACCCAAAGCAATCTACACATTCAGTGCAATCCCTATCAAAATACCATCAACATTTTTCACAGAGCTGGAGCAAACAATCCTAAAATTTGTATGGAACCAGAAAAGACCCCAAATAGTGAAAGGAATGTTGAAAAAGAAAACCAAAGTTGGAGGCATCACAATCCCAGACTTCAGGCTGTATTACAAAGCTGTAATTATCAAGACAGTATGGCACTGGCACAAAAACAGACACATAGATCAATGGAACAGAAGAGAGAACCCAGAAACGGACCCTCAACTCTATGGTCAACTAATCTTTGACAAAGCAGGAAAGAATATCCAATGGAAAAAAAGAGAGTGTCTTCAACAAATGTTGGGGAAATTGGACAGCCACGAGCAGAAGAATGAAACTGGACCACTTTCTTACACTACACACAAAAATAAACTCAAAGTGGATGAAAGACCTAAATGTGAGACAGGAATCCATTAAAATCCTAGAGAAGAACACAGGCAACAACCTCTGTGACTCAGCCTCAGCAACTGCTTGCTAGATTCATCTCCAAAGGCAAGAGAAAAAATGAACTATTGGGACTTTATCAGGATAAAAAGGTTTTGCACAGCAAAGGAAATAGTCAACAAAACTAAAAGACAACCTATGGAATGGGAAAAGTTATTTACAGTTGTCTTATCAGATAAAGGGCTAGTATACAAAATCTGTAAGAACTTATCAAACTCAACACCCAAAAAACAAAAAATCCAGTCAAGAAATGGGCAGATGACATGAACAGACAATTCTCCAAAAAAGTCATACAAATGGCCAACAGACACATGAAAAAGTGTGCCACATCACTCGGCATCAGGGAAATACAAATCAAAACCACAATGAGCTACCACCTCACACCAGTCAGAATGGCTAAAATTAACAAGTCAGGAAATGACAGATGTTGGCGAGGATGCAGAGAAAGGGGAACCCTCTTACAGTGTTGGTGGGAATGCAAGCTGGTACAGCCAGTCTGGAAAATAGTATGGAGGTTCCTCAAAAAGTTAAAAAATAGTGCTACCCTACAACCCAGCAATTGCACTACTGGGTATTTACCCAAAGGATACAAATGTAGTGATCTGAAGGGGTATGTGCACCCCAATGTTTATAGCAGCAATGTCCACAATAGCCAAACTACCGAAAGAGTCCAGCTGTCCAACAACGGATGAATGGATGAAGAAGATGTGGTGTGTATATATACAATGGAATATTATTCAGCCATCAAAAAGAATGAAATCTTGTCATTTGCAATGATGTGGAACTAGAGGGTATTATGCTGAGTGAAATAAGTGAGAGAAAGACAAACACCATATGATCTCACTCATATGTGGAAATTAAGAAACAAAACAGATGAACATAGGGGAAGGGAGGAAAAATAAAATAAGATGAAAATAGAGAGGGAGGCAAACTGTAAGAGACAATAAACTTTAGGAAACAAACTGAGGGTTGTTGGAAGGGAGGTGGGTGAGGGGAAGGGGTAACTGGGTGATGGGCACTAAGGAGGGCACTTGATGTAATGAGCACTGGGTGTTATATGCAACTGATGAATCACTAAATTCTACCCCTGAAATTAATAATCCAGTATATGTTAACTAAATTGAATTTAAATAAAGAATTGTTTTAAAAGTACAGTTTTGGTCTCCTGGCATATTTTTATAACATTGTATTCTGATAGTTTTCTATAATATTGAGGAGTTATATAAAATTTCTGGATGTAAGAGACTCCATTTTGAAGCTCCATTTTCTTTTCCAAATAGTGAACTCCTTAACAGGGCCAGAGTGGCAAGTTTCAAGCAATTGCTCATAACATTTCAGCAGAGCAACTGGCATTTGGATCAGATGAGGACAGTAAAATTAATGCATATCAGGGACAGCTTTATTTGATAGCACCAATAACATCACCAATAAGATGGCAATCAGAAGCGGCTCAACCAGTCAGCACCAAAATAGTGTTTTTTTCTCTTTTCTTCTTTATCTAAATCATCTAATTGCCCCTTCCTTCTTTCTCATAAAAACCCCATGCTTTTCTCACATGAGCAGGACACTTTTCTGGTCACTTCAGAATCTGTGCTCCCCAAATTACAATTCTGAGACTCCAAGTAAAGACCTTTGTTCTTTCTCAGTTTTACCTCCTTTTCTTGGTTGACAATATGTATTTTTCATAATCAGAATATGTAAACATGCTATTAGATTCAAATGTCTCCAATATTGAGTGTTATATTTATATGTCACATATTCAAAATGCATCTAACACCAGCTCTATCATTTACTGCTTATGGCACCTTAAGCAAGGAGCCTCACCTAGCTAAACCTAAGATTTTAAAGATAATTATAGGGGTCATGTGAATAAAATTATAGGTCCAACCTGGAGGATATTTTGATAATTAAATTAGATACCATATGCTTTTATCTTAGCATAGCATGCAGCACGGAATAAGATTTCAGTGTATGTTTGTTGAATAAATAGAAATTAATCTACAACAATTGCATTGAGAGATTTGGTCCATTGGGCTATGCATTTCAACACACTCTGCAAACTGCAGATTCCTAAGAAACAAGGTCTACAAATAAATTTTTTGTCAGATCAGAACAGTAAGCGAGTTCAAACACGCTGCTTCTGTCCCCCCTCCTTTTGTCTGATTCTTCAGTGTGGGGAGCAAAGAATGTGCGGGTAAAACAGAAGCCTTGAACAGCTACGTTGTAATGACTGAAAGTATCTCCCTCTTTACGGAGAAGATTAGAGGAAGCTCAGGGAGATGTGACAGGAGCAACTGAACAACTTTATGAAAACAGGTCTGTGGTTTCTTAGCTGTGAATGAGCCACAGAGCTTTTAAGTTCAAATTAGTGAAGTGCAACCATTCGATCTTATTCAGGACTGGTTTTCAAAATTTGAACTACATGAGAATTATCTAAAGAAATTGTTAAACCCAGATTCTATACATTTAACAAATGGTACAGGTGACTGTGTAGATTCTATGAAAAATAAACCAACAAACACCAGAGGGGGACAGGGAGAAAGAGACAGACAGACTTGACAATATAGTTATTTTTAACTAATAAAGATCATGGATGTGGGAATTAAATTTATTTCTACATGGAGATTTACAGAACTCTCAATCTGAAGCTTTCTTCAGTATGACTAATAGCAAGATTAGAAAGAAACTATCTTTAGATTGTCATTGCCTATCAGCTCCTCGATGGGCACTGTCTTGTTCTAGGAACTGTAATGCCTGCCACAGAGCCTGGTAAGAGCAAACTAGGGACTCTTTCCTACTTGCTGCTGTCGTGAGCTGACATCGTTCTGGGAGCAGCTCATCCACGGAGACACTGTGTGCTTCGCTGTCATTTTGCAGCTGGGACTGTTTCCAATGGCGAAGCTGAGCTTCCCTAAAACTAAAGCCAGCCACAGAGCCTTGTGGGCCAGACAAAAGGCAGCCTGCCCCTCCTGCCCATTCCTCAGTTGTCACTTGGAATCAGAGATCAAGTCTTGAGGGGCGTTTGGGTGGCTCAGTTGGTTAAGTGTCTGACTTCGGCTCAGGTCATGATCGCCACGGTCCTGGGATCGAACCCTCCATCTGGCTCCACACTCAGTGGGAACTCTGCCTCTACCCCCACTTGTGCTCTTTCACTCTCTCAAGTAGATAAATAAAGTCTGAAGGAAGGAAGGAAAGGGAGGAAGGCAGGGAGGGAGGGAGGGAGGGGAAGAAATCAAATCTTGAGTTCAAGACAATGTTCCTGGTAAAAGGAGATGTACGTACCTTCCCTACCAGCACCACCGGTCCAAGAACAGTTCTCAACCACTCACTGCTTGCTCACTTGCTTCTTCGACTTTTCTGTCCCTCCTTTATAAAAGCTTTACAAAACTGAGGAAGTTAGAAATTTCTACCATCTAAATCATGTGTTAAAACTGAAATTGAGGGGTGCCTGGGTGGCTCTGTAGTTGAGCAGCCAACTCTTGACCTCAGCTCAGGTATGGATCTCAGGGTTGTGAGTTCAGGCCTTGTGTTGGGCTCCACTCTGGGCATGGGGCCTACTTAAAAAAGCAGGCACACAAATTAAAAAAAACAACAACAACAACAACCCTGAAATTGAAAGTAAAAATAATTCAGGCACCCTGAATCAGCAGACTAGAGCATGAATATGGACGGTCAGTATAAGATAAGATGAGGTTAGAGAAACCCCACTGTTACTCAACATTCAGATCTTAATAAACACACTCCATCAGCTTTCTTTTGTCTTCCCCATCTTGGCGGGCTTTTCTGGCCTCTCTTCTTCATCCGTCTTTCTCAGTTGGCTAAAGTTTCCTTAGCACACAAGAAAAATAGAAAATTCTTAGCACAAATGTAAGAAAAGCCATATAAAGCAAGAATATTTCAACTATTTTTCTCTTAGTGGGGATTCCTGGATTCTTTTCTTAGTGGAAAGCATTTAACTTTTTTTTTAAGATTTTATTTATTTATTTATTTATTCATTTATTTATGCATGTATGTATGCAGAGAGTGCACACATATGAGTGGGGGGAGGGGGGGAGGGAGAAAGAGAATCTCAAGCAGACTCCACACTGAGCCCAGAGCCTGAGGCAGAGTCCACTCTCATGACCCTGAGATCGTGACTTGAGCCAAAATCAGGGTTGGACTCTGGGGCACCTGGGTGGCTCACTCGATTTAGCATCCACCTTCAGCTCAGGTCATGATCCCAGGGGTCCTGGGATCAAGCCCTGAGTCGGACTGCCTGCTCACTGAGGAGTCTGCTTCTCCTTCTCCCTCTGTCTCTTCCCCCACTCATACTCTCTCCCTTGCTCTCTCTCTCAAAAGAAATAAAATCTTTAAAAGGAAAAAAAAAAAAGAGGGACGTCTGGGTGGCTTAGATGGTTATCCATCTGCCTTCAGCTCAGGTCATGATCTCCAGGGCCAAGGATCAAGCTCCACATCAGGCTCTCTGTGCAGTTGGGAGTCTCCTTCTTCCTCTTCCTCTGCCTGTCCCCCTGCTCATGCTCTCTCTCTCTCTCTCTGTCTCTCTGTATCTCTCTGTCTTAAATTGGCAAATAAAATCTTGAAAGAAAGAAAGAAAGAAAGAAAGAAAGAAAGAAAGAAAGAAAGAAAGAAAGAAAGAAAGAAGAAAGAAAGAAAAATTAAGAAAGAAAAAGAAAGAAAGAAAGAAATGAAAGACGCTTAACTAACTGAGCAACCCAGTACCCCAACTATTTTTTAAGATTTTATTTATTTTATTTTTTTGGAGAGAGAGTGTGTGTGTGAGCTGGGGAAGGGGCAGAGGGAGAAGGAGAGAGAATCTCAAGCAGACACCCAGCTGAGCGTAGAGCCTGACAGGAGCCTCGATCCCACAACCCCAGATCACGACCTGAGCTGAAATCATAGTCGCTTCACCTACTGAGCCACCTAGCAGGTGACCCACCTTTTGACATTTTAAACATGTTCCCTAATATATAGTGTTGATGCAAAATGAACAAACCTTTTAGCATTTATTTTTTTCTTGACTAATATATTTTTATTTTTACTTATATTGTTTATTTTAATTCCAGTGTAGTAAACATACAGTGTTTTATTAGTGTCAGGAGTTCAATATAGTCATTCAACAATTCCATATATTTCTTAGTGCTCATCAAGATAAGGGTACTCTTCATCTCCTTCACCTATTTCACCCAATCCCCACTCACTTCTCCTCTGCTAACCATTAGTTTGTTCTGTATAATTAATAGTCTGTGTTTTGGTTTGTCTCTTTTTCTTTTCTTTGTTCATTTGGGGGTTTTTTTGTTGTTGTTTTAAAGATTTTATTTATTTATTTGACAGAAAGACACAGCAAGAGAGGGAACACAGCAGGGGGAATGAGAGAGGGAGAAGCAGGCTTCCCGCTGAGCAGGGAGCCCAATGTGGGGCTCGATTCCAGGACCCTGGGATCATGACCTGAGCCAAAGGCAGACGCTTAACGACTGAGCCACCCAGCTGCCCCTGTTCATTTGTTTTGTTTCTGATATTCCATATACGAGTGAAATCATGTGGTATTTGTCATTCTCTGCCTTATTTCACTTAGCATTATACTCTCTAGATGCATACATGTTGTTGCAAATACCAAGATTCTGTTCTTTTTATGACTGAATAATATTCTATCATAGATGTGTGTGTGTGTGTGTGTGTATAATATTCCATCATATTCCTTATCCATTCATCTATTGATGGACACTTGGTCTGCTTCCATAATTTGGCTATTGGGAATAATGCTGAAGTAACATAAAAGTGCATGTATACTGTCAAATTAGTGTTCTTGTATTCCTTGGGTAAATACCCAGTAGTGTAATTACTGGATCATATGGTAATTCTATTTTTAACTTTTCAAGGAACATCCATACTGTCTTACATGGTAAATTGCACCAGTCTGCATTCCCACCAACAGTGCACAAGAGTTGCTGTTTCTCTGTATCCTCGCCAACATTTGTTTCTTGTGTTTTTTATTTTAGCCATTCTGACAGGTGGGAGGTAATATCTCCTCGTAGTTTTGATTTGCATTTCCCTGATTATGAGTGATGATAAGCATCTTTTCACGTGTATGTTGGCCATCTATATTTCTTCTTCGGAGAAATGTCTATTCATATCTTCTGCCCATTTTTAAATTGGATTGTTTGTTTTTTAGGGGTATTGAGTTATATCTTTTCTTTGTATTTTGGATGCTAACCCTTTATTGGATATATTATTTGCAAATATTTTCTCCCATGAAGTAGACTGTCCTTTAGTTTTGTTGTTTGTTTCCTTTGCTGTGCAGAAGCCTTTTATTTTGATGTACTCCTTTTGCTTTTATTTCTCTCACATTAGGAGAGACATCTAGAAAGATGCTGCTATAGCCAATGTCAGAGAAAGTACTGCCTGTGCTGTCTTCTAGGATTTTTATGGTTTAAGGTCTCACATTTAGGTCCTTAATCCATTTTTGTGTAAGGTGTATGAAAGTGGTCCGGTTTCTTTATTTTGCATGTTGCTGTTTAGTTTTCCCAGCACCATTTATTAAAGAGACTTTTTCCCATTGCATATTCTTGCCTCTTCTGTTGAAGATCGATTGACCAAATAATTCTGCATTTATTTCTGGGCTCTCTCTTCTGTTCTATTGATGTGTCTGCTTTTATGCCAGGACTATACTATTTTGATTACTCCAGCTTTGTAATACAATTTGAAGTCCAGGATTGTGATGCCACCAGTTTTGTTTTTCTTTTTCAAGATTGCTTTGGCTTTTCAGGGTCTTTTGTGATTCCATACAAACTTTAGGATTGTTTGTTCTAGTCCACAAAAAAATGCTATCACATTAAACATGTAGATTCTTTTGGTAGAACGGACATTTTAACATTCTTCTTCCAATCCATGAGCATGAAATGTCTTTCCATTTGTTTGTATTGTCTGCAATTTCTTTCATCAGTGCTTTATAGTTTTCAGAGTACAGATCTTTTACTACCTTGGTTAAGTTTATTCCTAGGTATTTTATTCTTTTTAGTGCAATTGTAAATGGGATTGTGTTCTTAATTTCTCTTTTTGCTGCTTCATTATAATAAGTGTATAGAAATGCAACAGAGTTTTGTAGATTGATTTTGTATCCTGCAACATTACTGAATTCATTTATCAGTTCTAGTAGTTTTTTAGTGGAGTCTTTCAGGTTTTCTACATATAGTATCATGTCATCAGTGAAAAGTGGAAGTTTTACTTCTTCCTTACCAATTTGGGTGCCTTTCATTCCTTTCTCTTGTCTGATTGCTATGGATAAGGCTTCCAGCACTGTGTTGAATAGAAGTGGCAAGAGTGGACATCCTTGTCTTGTTCCTGACTTTAGGGGGAAAGTTCTCAGTTTTTCACCATTGAGGACAATTTTAGCTGTGGTTTTTTCATACAAGGCCTTTATTATGTTGAGGTATGTTCCCTCTAAACCTACTTTGTTGAGGGTTTTTATCATGAATGGATGCTGTACTTTGTCAGATGCTTTTCCTGCTTCTATTGAAATGATACCATGGTTTTTATCCTTTCTCTTGTGGATGTGATGTATCATACTGATTGATTTGTGAATATTGAAGCACCCTTGCAACCCAGGAATAAATCCCACTTGATCATGGTGAATGATTTTTTTAAAGATATTATTGGATTCAATTTGCTAGTATTATGTTGAGGATTTTTGCATCTAGGTGCATCACAGATATTGTCGTGTAGTTCTCTTTTTGTGTGTTGTCTTTATCTAGATTTGGTATCAGGGTAATGCTGGCCTCATAGAATGGATTTGGAAGTTGTCCTTCCTCTTCTACTTTTTGGAATAGTTTGGGAAGAATTGGTATTAACTCTTCTTTAAATGTTTGGTAAAATTCACCTGTGAAGCCATCTGGTCCTAGACTTTTGTTTGTTGGGAGCT